CGGAGACTTCGCTAACATACATAACACACACGGTTAACTTTGTTGCTATAGTCCCCCCACAATGCAACTGCTTTATACGGTTCAACAGAGATTCTAGATCTGGCTGCTTGTGGATTCTTATCTCAACTGTTATTCTTTGAGTCACCAGATATCAATCTTTCAGGCCGCAGTTCTGAAGAGTTAAGAATATGTTAGTTTTACTACTCCCCCTCCCCCTTCTCTAACAGAAGTAAACCAATGGGGAATCTTGAAGTCGCAGAAATATTATACCAGGTGTCTGTAGAGTCTCAATGCACGTTGTATGCATGACAAATTTGAAAAAAACAAAATACACGATGTCATCAACAATTTGCACAGCCACAACAATAACATATCTGATGCTTCAGGTCAAAATGGACGCTAGGCACGGCCACCTTTTTTTTTTTTTTTTTTAGCCGAGGATATAGTTTCGTCGCCCAGTTTCTGAGTTGAGTGCATGGCGTTACACTGTGAGCTACATGTGTTTTTCGTTGGCACAGGAGCATAGCAACTATGAGGTGACCCGTTTGCTATGAAGCTGAAACTAGGATTACCAGATTACAAAAAATCTGAGTCATTAGAGTCAATTTAATGTCTAATCCTGTTTTGTGGAAGCTAGGGGGTACCAATATTCATTATAACATGTCTTCAAAATGTCCATCACAGGCTTCAAGACATTACCATCCATGCTGGAATATCTGTTCAACAACACCAAATTTTGTTCCTGTTGTTAACCTCATTTTTTTTTTTTTTTTTTTTTTGAGTGCAAAGACTTACTCCAGCAGAAGACAGCCATTCACTGCATACTGATTCAGGATTCACTGTGGAGCACATATTTTGATGACACAATGTGTGTCATTTTTCAAATGTATTCTGCATAAGTGTAATGAGACTTTACAAACACCCTGTATATAAGTAAATACACATCTATTCATCACATGTGTGTTTTATTATATAAATCTCTTTACTCACAGACAACCAGTAAAAGACACAGTTTATGATGGGTTGCATAAACAGTTTATTTGTGCAAGGAACGCCATTTATTGCCTTCCCCGCCATTCCCAGGCTTACTATTTACAATCAACTCAGCGGACAACCTCAAGGGAAGTAACTTAACAAGCAGCAGACACATTTTCAGTCCATACTGCTTACAGTTACATCCCTTATATTTTTAAAGAACATGCAACCTTGTTCCATTTCACTGTTGACAAATGTGCCTTCTGATTCTAAATATGAACTCTGTCAGTCATTTGTTATTGCTGTCATAAGTTTAGATATTAACCATTTCATCACTGACAAAATTTGTAGACAAAAATATTAAGCTCCTTAACATAAATAACTTATCTGATATGTATTTTCAAATGAACCGTTGAACATGTTTTTCAGCAGCAAGATAATTGATAATCTTATAACTGAAAACTGGATAACTATAATTCAAACTGTAATAACAGTCTAACCGGTGAGTTTTTGTTTTAGAAAATTGCCTTTCTTTAGAAACCATTTTGACTTTTTATTTCAAAAGAAAGAGAACCAGGATTACCCAAGATAATGTGACCTAAGAGTTACTTCCTCGCCACTTGTCACGAATATATACAATTTATAGATGTTAATCTGAGCATTTAACTGTTCCAGTTACACCTGCCAACAGACAAAGCACACATTCTCATTCTTACAGTCAGGATATTTACACTCTGTAACTATTCAGATCTTGAAATCATTACCAACCGTCTGCTTTCTGTATTTCATATGAACAAAAATGGGGATACAACTATGTTCCGGAGAATTTCAAACATATTAATAAAGGAAAACAAATCAATTAATGTAAAATTATCCCCATCATACATGTGTGTTACACATCAAAGATTGTGATGTATGTAAATCAAGCCTTCCCTCCTGATTTACGCACACAAGAGTCTTTGATTTTAATTTAGCAAAAGTGTTCTTCTTAATTTGTTATTCAAGGTTTTTTCCTAATATGCTATTCAGGGAAACAATTTGAACCTGCGAACGCTTGACCAAGAGGTACTAGCTGCTATTCAACTATAGCTACATTAGAAACATTTTTAGATATGTCAATTAAGCAGTAACTTCTTAATGAGAATAAGAGATGTTTATTAGAATAATACTGTTTCAGGTTAACCAAAGCAACATCCTGGTACTCAGGATATGCCAAAAGGAACTCTCTCTTTCTCTCTCTCTTCCTGCAGGTTTCAATGTTTATATCTGAATCATTTTCAATTTTGAAGCAAGTCACATGACTAGATGAACTGCGATAGCATCATAAAGTCACATGATTACAGCATATGATTAAAAACGTGAAAGCAGAAGGTGGTGAAAGCACAAAACAATGTTCAAACAGCGGGGAAGACAAGAAACCTATGTCCCTGATCTCCATGACAACACATGAGCCGCAAAAACACAAATGCTACATTTTCTTCCAGCTTCAATGTGACCACAAATTACAGCGGCGACAGCGATAACAACAAAAAACGACGACAACAGTATCACAGGAAACGACAAAATATACAACGTGTTCATGTCTAGATTAACTAATCTAATAATAAATTAAGTCGCGACGTCAAATTTCTCTCCCCACAGTTCGCCACAAAATTCAACCCCAACTTCCCCTTATAAATTGTAGTATTCCCTTACTTGTACTACAAATGCATACGTCACGTTTATTGTGGACCTTATTGTTAAGTCACCAAATTGCTTATTTTGTCTGTCTGTCTGAGCCCTCCGGGCAGTTACCTGGGGTCTGACCATCCTTCAGACTACAAGAATCTAATCCTGGACAGCAAACCAACAGAGCCAACCCTAGATACCCGGTTAAAACCTGTAAAGAAGTTACAACTGAGGTACCCCTATCAACCAAGCACTGCCGTGGTATGCCTCCCCGTGTGAGCAAACGTACAATTGCTGACTGAGGTATTCCTTACGAGAAATCAGCAAGAGATGCACGAGTAATAAATAAATTTCCAGAAATCAGTCCAGGAACTGATATGTCCGTGTATAAGTTAGCTTTATAGCCAAGCTATAGGCACCCAGCTGTGACAGTCCTGGCACTGAATTTATCACTAGCTATAAAACTATTACAATGTCATTATGTCTAGTAGATCTTATATATGTGAATTAACTCTAACTATATGTTAACCACATTTCATCTAGATTGATTTAAATATTGTTGTAACGAATATCTGTAAAGCTATCAAGATCTCACTTTGTCCTTTTGTCTAGAAGATCTTACAGACAATGAATTAACTCTCTAGCTATAGTTAACAACATGTCATCTAGACCAAAATAACATTTATTGTAATCATTAGCTATACAGCTATCAAATGTCATTCTGTCTTAGATCTCACGCACAAAAGTTTAACTCTAGCCTGTAAAGTTAACCATACATCATCCAAAGCAAAGACAATATTACTTTAATGGCTAGCTATGAAGCCATCCAGAGGTCACTGTAGCTAGATTACTTTATCTAGTTACGCTAAAGCAATGATTGGTTGGCCGAGCTAAGCACATGTTTTATGATGAGTCTGAGGTGGTCTAACATGAATGAACTCCTGGATATTTAACTTTCCCTGGAGTGGCTTGTTTAGACCAAGGAGGCAGTCATTCAATGTGTTAACCTACGGCGGAAAGACTATCTGTACGTCATCTTATCTAGATAAGCATTTCACACTACTGGGTATTTAGCTGTCCAGATGTCATCTGGTGTAGATAGCTATGACATTTCAATCAATTGATTACAAAGTATTTAGCTGTCCAAATGTCATGAGGTCAAGATAGATGTAACCTGCATTGAATTAATCATTAGGAATTATGCTGTCAAATGACATCATGTCTAGTTTGATATGACATGCAATAAATTAATTATTGGGAATTATGCTGTCCAAATGTCATCTGGTCTAGACAGATATTGACACACAAGGAATTATTAGGTATTTGGCTGTCCAAATGTCATCTTGTCTTACACAGCTGACAAACAAGTCAGTCTCTAGCTATAAAGCTATCCAAATGACATCCTGTTGAAATAAAGCTGACATGCAAGAGTGACTCTTCATCTGTCTCAGTTTATGTCACTCCATCTAGACTGACCTGACACACTGTCAGCAGCTCACACTGACACACTGTACACTGTCAGCATACACTGACATACTGTCAGCACACACTGACACAACATCACAAACAATGGTTCAACATCTGGTTAAAGTCAACAGTTTAGGGCCACACATCCAAGATATGCTAACAATTAGGAGTAACTTTTTATATTAAGAGAACTCACAACTTTCTTGATTACTTAAAGTTAGAAAACTACAACTCTGAGACCTGAGGCTGTGAGGCCTCCATCAGTTGCTATGGGCCTCCTGTTATCGTTTTGGGTCTCAGGTACCACATTATTTCTGATCAACTATTGTCCACATATGTTCAGCAACACATAATGTGTCCTCCAGCTGTCCACATTTGGCCTCAGAAGGGTGAAAAAATATATTTTATTTAAAAGCATAGCACAGCATAAATGAATGCCGTCTCTTTTCATCATTTTTAACCAGGATAATTTTTCCCTTTACACATCAACTGTAAAATTATCTGGTAATGACAGTTCTGCACCTGTAAGCTACACATGCCTTTAAAAAAAACCCACCCCCCAAAAATAATACAGCTAACAGCATAAATAAATGTTTTGGTTAAATATTCTCTGTAAAAATGTGGAATATTATGAGCAATAATTCTATTTGATGAGCTAACACCATTAAGGCTGTGAGCAATACTGAATTTCACTATCATGTAATTTATAGCTCTACCATTTGATTATGCCCTGAGTAAAAAATAAGTGCCCTATAAGCTAACAATGTGTATGTTAGCACAACTTTGGGGAAACATTCCCTGAGTTCCAGACTCTGGGAGGACTGTGTTGACTTTAACCATCTGTATGTCATAGAAAGCTTCCAGGTGTACGTGTTACTACGGTGACGTAACTACACGTACACCGGAGCATTGGTTTCTTGTTCTTGTTGTGAAGGCACAGAGCAAGGGTGTCCACCATCGTCGAAAAAACGACGGAAGGTGAATTCGAAAAATGCGTGCTCTGGGTGCTTTCCATTTTCTGACTTAGAGTTAGCCTTCTTGGATCCATCTGAGTCATTCGATTGTAGCTTATCTGGATCAACCGGATCAAAATTGGATGTATCCGTGAGGAATTTGATTGTGGGCTTCAGAGGTGCCGGTAATTTACGAAGTCCTTCAAAGTTGACCCCTGAGAAGAACTTGTGTTCTTTAACCTCTGTGGCACCATTCCGACCGAGTCTTGTTTCAGGGCCTTGCAGCAGCTGAGCAATGAGGTCTATGGTGACAGGAGAAATGTTGGTGCAGTGGGGAACCATCAGCGTCTCCTTCCAGTTGATCACCTGCAATGATAACGAAAAGATGTCAACACAGAAATGGATCTATTTTTTTGGGAGACTACAGTGTGAAGGATGAGTATTCTCACATGTAGGCAAAACCCATAATGATGATGATGATGAATAATGAGAGCAATAGCATATTAGTGCCAATAAAGGATCACTTAATGCATTGACTGGTCCCTGCATGGAACAGAAGGAATCAAAAGATAAGATAAAAATCACTAATGTGGAGCTTTAGGAGAAAACAAATTCCAGTCAATTAAGGAGGTAAAGAAAAGCACTGCACTGGATATGACCTGAGAGCAATATATGCAGGATGTCTTTACACTGGAGCCCACAAGGGCACAGAAAAAAAGGCAGAACAAGAAATGGAGAGAAGAGCTAGAAAGTGAAGTTAAAAAAAGATGAGGAGGACATCAGAGTGAGCTGCATGTGACACGAAAAAAAGGACAACCTGATGTGAGTTCGTTGAGGACCTATGCTCCAGTGGAAAATAAAACACAGAAGAAGAATAGGAAAAGATCGCTCAACTGCACATAGTTGTCTTCGTAAATACCTCAGTCATTAGACCCAGATCATAGGAGAATTTCAGGACCTGCACAAAATCTATATTATAGGTTGAAGTTAAAGACAGGGATGCTTCGAGCAGAGTGGCAAGCTTCACTGGGAAGGTCATGGGTAGTGAGCATACTTTGGATCTTTTCTCTAGGCCATGCCCGCAAAGTAGGTAATGAACAGGCAGATGTGGTCAAGGCCCTTTTGGGAACAAGCAATGGAATCAGTAGAGAAACAAGATTATTATGTCCTGAAAATAATGAGGCACTTGGGTGTCACCAGAGGGTCTGGCCAGCTCACTACACTCAGAGGAAAGGCAAGACGGAGCATTAGTATTGGAACTCTGTGTTGGCTGCTGAAGATGAGGATGAAGCACACATAGGAATGCCCCGATTTCTGATGTCAATTCTTGACTCCACTCAACTCAACAGGTTGAAGTTAATGTGCATCCTTTACAAGATATTTCAGAACCAACCTCAGCACTGTTTGACAGTTTATGATTTCACTAGAGAATATTCAACACAGCTCTGCTGTAAAGAGACATAATATAATTGCTTTCAGCATTCTGAAAAAAAAAAAAAAAAACAGGACAAACACAGAAGAATAAATACAGGAAATATATAAATACACAGCTGGAAACTTCAGTTACCTACCTTATACTGTGTTTCTGCAGGGGAGGGGGCATAAAAGGGAGGCTGACCAATCACCATTTCGTACAGAATGACACCAACACTCCACCAATCACAGGCTTTTGTGTATCCTGTCAATTAAATAACACACGCCTCTTAAAATCATATATATGTTTTTTATGCATGCTGAAAATAGAATACTAAGAAAATCTTTTATTCAAAATCTAAACTCATCATTATCATGTAGAAGGTCCTCTGTACAACACGTCCATACAAATTACCTGGCCTTACGTGAAAACATGGTGAATGTGTCTCAAATCTTTTCCTCCTTCTTATGTGTTTGTCCTTAAAAAAAGTGGTTGGCATGTTGTGTTGTGGTTTACAGCTAAGCTGTGACATCTGCACCTTTTGGTCCAAAATGTACGATTTCTGCAAACCCATAATTATTTGAATTTTATGTTAGAAAGGCCCGGAACGCACATGGAGAGACTTAAATATCCTGTCTTCCTCTTTATTTTGGTAGACACCTGTCTCCCCCTCCCCTTCCATCTGAATGATAGTTAAAGACAGCTGAATGACACCTGTCACCATCCCCTTTCTACCCCCATGGACGGAGCTGGGGCATACATAACTGTTCTTTTAAAGCCCCTGTGGTGATTCAGGATCTCTTCCTCGTCATTCTTCTTCGCATATACCAGCTATAAACTCCGGTGGAAAATTCTGGCTGTTCATTTACTGCTGGACTTTAGTCTTGTTTCAGAACTTGAGTTCTGCACGCACATCCATTTTACAGATCTGGTTTTTTTGTATGCAGACTGTTGGTTTCTTGTCGCCTCCTATGACATGCTTGTTAGGGAGGCAGTAGTTCTATTATCCCCACCCCCCCCCCCCCCCCCCCCCCCAAAAAAAAAATTGGGCCTCAGGACCTATCTGTGAATTCTTTTCTCCTTAGTGTTTACCATCTGTAACCTCTGGCAGAAAGTTCTAGTTGTTCATCCACTTTTGGACTGCAGTCCTATTAAGAACCTGAGTATTAACATGTGCATCCGTTTTACAGATCTGACTCATTTGTATGCAGACTGCTGGTTCCTTGCCTCGCAGGCAGATGCACTCCGACTTGGAAGGAAGCTCCCAATTAGTCGACTCTTAGGACATGCTTTTGGGTAGGCAGTGGGTCTATTCCTTTTTGTCCCCTATAACAGGGCCCTGGAACCCACACGGGGATATGTGCTTTCAGCATCTCAGTAAGTAACTAAGTGACCCTTTTGAGGCCTTCAGGGGTATTGGGCATACAGGGCTAGACCTATATTTTATAGACCAATCAGCACTTGGTGGGAGATGTGGTCAGCACTACGTCGGCCACCTTTACTTCCCAGAACAACCTGGCATTCGTTCAAGGCTGGGCCGACCTGGAAGCCAATGTCTTTTTGGAAAAAAAAAAGTCTAGTAACATTCAGATCTCTTGAGTGACTGGAGCCTAAGGACAAGATACTTCTTGGCTTCATGTTGACCTTCATGTTGTCTGTTGAGTTTTCCAGTCTCAGTTTGTGTTGTAAGTACTGAGTTGATAAAGACTTTGGTAACAACATTTTGTTGTATCATCTCCGTTGTTGAGTTTTGTAGTCATATTTTGTTTTGTATTTAGCAAAGAGACAGTTCTTGAGATGTGTTGCAGTTTACCTCCACAATGAGTGAGTGACACTGTCTGAGGGACCAGTGAGTAAATCTGAAATAAGCCCCGGGGAAAGTCATCGGAAGGATAATCTGGAGGACCTATAAGTGATCTCCACTGACCAGGTTAAGGAAGGAAGAAGTGCTTCACTGATAAGAAAGACAAAAACTGGACCATGTTCAGCTAACCCCCCCCCCCCCCCCCCCCCCCTCCCGAGGGGTAGCTATCGACTACACTGTGGTCTGTGTTTATTCTGTTCCATATCCATGGTTTCAAATTGCTTATCACCAAATTGCCCTGAAAGGGACTCTTGCAGTTTTGATGTGATGGCCAGTCTTGACCACCTTTCCAACTGGCAACCAAGCTGCCCATAGCAAACAAAAAAGCCACCCCGAGGCCTCTGAGGAGCCAGTGGGCCTGAAAACTGTCAATAAACTTTGCTCTTACCTAAACGCAGCAGCACCTCCGGAGCGATGTAATTGGGTGTGCCCACCAAGGAATGTGCTAGGCAGCGTTTCTGTTCCCGCTGACGCCTTTTCTCCAGCGGCTTGAGGATCTCTCCATGAGAGGGGTCATCCAGCTCACAGCTGACGTCCATTGAGTCCTGGCAGACATGACCATCTGGGGACAAATAAAAGTCATTATCAACTCTTTCAATAGCAGCAGATTTCACTAACTCTTGTTAGTACCAAGGAACTCACCAAGCGCTCACTGTAAGTAAAGTAACAGCAAAGAATCCTTTTCACACCTTCAGGTGCATTGGGCATATAGGGCTTGACCTATATTTTAGATTTTCATTGGTTACACATTTCTTAACGTTCCTATCCCATTCTTGTCTTGTGTTAACCCCCATATTTTCCAGTAGTTATTATAATAGCTTCTCTCACAAAAACCTGTATTTTTCAGCTCTATGAGACTAACACATTGTTGCTTTAGGATACAAAACCCTCATGTGGTTTCCGGGGCCCCATTGTGGGGAAAACAAAAATAAACCCATTTCCCAAGCATTTAGTAGGAGGTAGACTAATTAGGGATTTCCTTCAAAGTCAGAGGGCGTCTGCTCAAGCGGCAAGGAGCAACCAACTGCACACAAATAAACCAGTAAAACAGATGTACAAGCAAAAACTCAGGCCGTGGCACCAGAAGAAGAGAATGATCAAATCAATCAGAATGCCACCGAAACTGGCACAAGATGATTACCATATTATGGACAGACCAGAGCAAGTTATTATCCTTCGCCTTAGAACAGGGCACAATAGACTTCGCTCCCACATGTACAACAAATTTAAGATTGGCCAATCGGCCATGTGTACTTGTGGACTGGCACCTGAAACAACAGATCACATCCTTCAAGACTGTCCCATATTCAACGCTTTCAGGCAAAACATTTGGCCAAAAGAGACACTTGTGGAAGTCAAACTTTACGGGCCGCTTAGTGAATTACAAAAGACAGTGAAATTCATACAAGAGACGGCTTTGCAGATATAGACAATTTATTTCATGCGAACGAAAGAAGAAGAAGAAGGCCGTGGCACAAAGTCAAAGCCCGAGTGGACGAACAACCTGTACTTTCTATTGAAGCTTACAACTGGTGAACAAAGAAGTAAAGGATACAAAAACTATAGCATAGATACTACTATTGTCTATGACTCTATCTTTCTATCTATAGTTGAGTCAGATTTTGTTGTAAATTTGCCTAAGGTGGACTTAGTCTAAAACAGATACTCGGTAATTAATATCCTGAGAAGTAGAGGCAATTAGGGTGAAGTTTACCGTGCAAAGTGTAGACTTGTCTACACAAACATAGGTCTAGCACTATTTGCCAGGTGCCTCATAGGCATGAAGAAGTTCCCTTGTCATGAAAGACAACAACCAACATGACCAGATTTCAAAACATTTAACTGGGCGCCGTAAAATTGGCCGGACTAAATGAGTATAAGGATATTTTTCTGATAAATCTTCTTCTTCTTCTTCACATTCACCGGCTGTAAACTCTGGCAAAAGGTGCTGGTTGTTCGTCCACGCATGGACTTTTGGTTTTGTTCGCGTGCACATCTGTTTTATCTATATGCAGATTACTGGTTTTCCACTCTTAGGCAGATGCACTCCGACTTGGAAGTGAACAGCCCTAATTACATAGTCGTTTTACGACTTGCTTGTTGGGAAGCTGTGGGTCCCCCCCCCCCCCCCCCCCCCCTTCTCTCTCTCCCCACACACAGGGATAATGGAGCCACAAAACCGCTCACGGAGTTCTGAGAAATCAAGTCAGCTGGTGAAATATTCAAACATCATCATTAAATGCCAAGTGGTGTTTTCAGAAATGTATAAAATAAAGTTGGTGCCACATATTCAATAAAACACAAAGTGAGGATTAATGTTGGTTACTTTGCTTGTTATGTTACAAACTGTTGAAGGTTATATCGCATGCCTATTTTGTTAGGCACTTTTTTTGGTGGGTTTACTGGGTTGACTCGATGCTGTATCCCTGCCCTGTGACTAGACACCCACAATACAGTGACCTGACACCCACAATACAGTGACCTGACACCCACAATAGAGTGACCTAACATCCACAATACAGTGACCTGACACCCACAATACATGATGAAAATTAGATTCATGACAAGAAATGAACAACTCGATACAAGACAAGAGCTGAAGACACAGATACAAGACAAAAGCTGAACAATCAGATACAAGACAAGAGCTAAACAACTGGATACAAGACAAGAACTGAACAACTGTATACAAGACAAGAGCTGAACAATCAGATACAAGACAAGAACTGAACAATTGTATACAAGACAAGAGCTGAACAATCAGATTCAAGACAAGAACTGAACAACTGTATACAAGACAAGAGCTGAACAACTAAATACAAGACGAGCTGAACAATCAGATACAAGACAAGAGCTGAACAACTGGATACAAGACAAGAACTGAACAACTGTATACAAGACAATAGCTGAACAACTAAATACAAGACAAGAGCTGAACAATCAGATACAAGACAAGAGCTGAACAACTGGATACAAGACAAGAGCTGAACAACTAAATACAAGACAAGAGCTGAACAATCAGGTAAAAGACAAGAGCTGAACAACTGGATACAAGACAAGAGCAGAACAATCAGATACAAGACAAGAGCTGAACAACTGGATACAAGAGCTTAACAACTGGATACAAGACAAGAGCTGAACAATCCGACACAAGACAAAAACTGAACAATCAGATACAAGACAAGAGCTGAATAATCAGAAATAAGACAATAACTGAACAATCAGATAAAAGACATTAACTGAACAATCAGATACAAGACAAGGAGTGAACAAACAGATACAAGACAAGAACTGAACAATCAGATACAAGACAATAACTGAACAATCAGATACAAGACAAGAGCTGAACAATCAGATACAAGACAAGAAGTGAACGAACAGATACAAGACAATAACTGAACAATCAGATACAAGACAATAACTGAACAATCAGATACAAGACAAGAGCTGAACAAACAGATACAAGACAATAACTGAACAAACAGATACAAGACGATAACTGAACAATCAGATACAAGACAAGCTACCTAGTGACCTACCTTTCTGGTAATACTTGGAGTTGTGTGTCCACCTGAAGCCTGTACAGAGGCCAAAGTCTGTGAGCTTGATGTGTCCATCCTTGTCAATGAGGATGTTGTCTGGTTTGATGTCTCGATGGATGAAACCCATGCGGTGAACACTCTCAATGGCCAGAACCAGCTCGGCAATATAAAACTGGGCCAGGTGCTCCTCCAGAATCTCCTTACGGATCAACAAGCCCATGAGGTCACCTCCGGGGACATAATCCATCACAAAGTACAGGCTATCGCTGTCCTGGAACGAATAATACAACTTTACCACCCACTCATTGTCAGCCTCTGCCAAGATGTCCCGCTCGGCTTTCACATGTGCCACCTGGTTCCGCTGGATCACGTTAGATTTCTTCAAAGTCTTCATGGCATACAGTGAGCCCACATCCTTTTTGCGAACTAAAGCCACTTCCCCAAATGCTCCCACTCCAAGCGTTTTGATCTTTTCAAACATGCTTGCGTCCATTTTGGCACGTTTTAAACGAATATAGTTGGACTCTTTCTGATGTAGCATTTTTCTCATTTGCCGAGCAGCTTCTTCTGATAAGTTCACTTTTGCCATTTCTTTTTCAAGCTGCAGCCTTCTGTTCATTCTCTGAGCATGGGACTTGAGCACATTCTCCACGTGTTGCTCCATGTAGAACTTGAAAGCTTGAGGTGAGTACATTTTCACTTTAGTGTCACAGCGGAGTCTGTCTCTCTCGTGAGCGTCAGATCTGCGTTCTGGTAGTGGAGACATACACCTGTGTTTTTCCTGTCCATTGCAGTTTGAGCACTTGGTAGACGGAGAGCTCCGACTTTGACTAATGCTACTTGTATCAGTATCAGTCTCATCTGTTTCTGACGGTGCTGCATTTCTGTTCATCTGGGGGAGCAGCAGATGTGGACAGCCTTCTGTTGGAGCAGTCAGATTATCTACATTTGGCTGTCCTGGACTGTTAGTATTTGAGTTCAAGGATAGAGAGCTATTTTCTGAAATGGGTAAAGATAGAGGTAAAGAAGAACTGCTTCCCACAAGAGATGTGCCTGGAGATGATGGTGGAGATGAAGAGCAGCAGCTTTGAGCGTGGTGGAGATTTGCGGAGAAGTATGACGGTGGGAGATGCAAAAAGTGGGTTTGTGTACCAGGCTGTGATGAATTATCTTGATGGCCAACATGTGGTGGAGGTGGAGGAGGAGGTTTGTCCTTAAGTGGAACTCGTGGTGGAAGTACGGGTGGGTTTAAATGAGGAGGCATCCCCAAGTTGACGATGCCCCTGCCTGGGTAAGGAGGTGGTGGTTTGTCTGGCATATCTGAGTTTGTTGACGGCGAGGAGGTAGTTGACATCACAGACATTGGAGACTGATTTGTGGCTCGAGATACTGGCGAGTCAGAGCGAGATGTAGATAGGTTTGAGTCTCCAGGAAACTGCTGGTACAAGGTGCCATTCTGCAGCCTGAATGCCTGGGTGTGGTTCGGTGAGAAATGGCTCTGCCATTGATTGTGAAAAGTCTGAATGGTTGGCTGACCTGCTGTAACTGCCGCCAGTTGCTCTAATGTGTAGCTTCCCCCGTTGCGGATTATCTGTGACCCATTATGAGGAGAATGAATGATTGGGATGGGCACATCTCTTCTTGTTAAATGTCCTGTGCCTACAGCAGGGTGCTGATGCTTCAGTTGTTGATTTGGCATTGGAGATAAAGTGTTACTGTGTGCCTGGACCTGTGCCAGCTGAGCAGGCGATGTTCCTGCACCGAGGTTGAGAGTTTGGGGAAGAAGCCCCACAGGGGCCGTGGCTGTCTGAGGCACAGGTTTGGTAACTTCTTTACTGTGAACTGAAGGCATAATGATTGGCATGTGGTTAAATCCCATAGCCATGCGAGTTGCTGAAACTGCTGTGGATGCGACTGACTGTATCACCTGTGTGGTTTCTGCTGGGACTGATATAATCTGGACTTCCAGACCTGAAGGGACACCATGAACATCCTGAAAGTGGTCTCTGTGAGCAGGTGGACCTCCTGTGGTTCCATTTAATCCTATTGCTGTAGTGACCTGAAGTCGAGCTTGGCTGTAAGGCGGAGGTGGAGCTTGTGTGTGGTTTTGCAGCATGGTTGAGCCACCATTTGAAGTTGCCGGTGCTGGGCCAGTTTGAGAGTGATTCACCTGAGTTCCAAGCATGAGGTTCTGTAGCTGTTGGGACAGCTGGTGATTGGGAACATTTACACTTCCATTGCTACCTGGGTTCAAAACTGACTGCTGGGTGCCTAAAGTAGGAGAGGGACTAACACCTCTTTGGTTGACTACTGCCCGAACCCCTCCGTTAACATGTGCTGTTACTTGCTGCTGATGCTGCTGCTTCTGCTGCAAATGGTAGTAGGGCTGTCCGGGTGACATTCGTTGGATCAACTGTTGCACATGACCCTGAGGTATCACATGGTTCTGACCGGGGACCAACAGACCTGCTTGTGTCATTCCAACTGCATGACCTTTGCCCTGACTTATTGTCTGCAAAACTGGGCTCTGGCCTGGGGCAACCTGCAGGAATAGTTTAACATCTGGTAATTACACAACAGATATGAAAAGACATTTGTGGAAAAACTAGTGTCACGTAAACAACACACGGAAAGAACACAGTGTATAATTAGCTTTACAATAACACAATCATAAAAAACAAAAAACCTGCCCATTAATGCATGTTTAACAACTTTCCTTGTGTGGGCAGAGGAGGAGGAAAAGGAGATGGAAGGGGGAGGAGGAGGGGTTGTTACCTGAGGATTAAGGACAGTATGGCCAGCGCTGTTGCCACAGACTGTGCAGGTTAAGATTTTATTGATGCCCCGAACAAAAAAACCCATTAACCTTACCAAAGATTGAAACCTGAGTCTCCCGCATGGAAGTCTAACATTCCGAACCACTGAACCACTTTACATAGCAATAACAAGAACAACAATGGAAAACAACAAAAGAAAACCAGAAATGACACTCAAGTAACTACATTAAAGCAAAAAATATGCAAACATGTGAAATGAAAATGAAGCAAGCAGAACCAAGTGAATTGTGAGTTACTTCCCTTTGCAGACCTAAAAAGAAAGAACAAACTATTCAGTAAACCTTCAGAATGATACAAAAAAATAAGGCACTTCCAATACGGTAGGGTGACATAGGATAAAACACAACATCACATTGTGGCAGCATAGGGGATAATGTACTTTTATCATGGCACTGGGTATAGTGTACTTTTGTGCTGGTGCTGAGTATTATGTACTTTCATGGTGGTGATGGGTAGAGTACTTTCATAGTGGCACTGGGTATAGTGTACTTTTATGCTGGTGCTGAGTATAGTGTACTTTTATGCTGGTGCTGAGTATAGTGTACTTTTATCATGGCACTGGGTATAGTGTACTTTCATGGTGGTGCTGGGTATAATGTACTTTCATGGTGGTGCTGGGTATAATGTACTTTCATGGTGATGCTTGGAATAGAGTACTTTCCTGGTGGCACTGGGTATAGTGTTAGTTAATCACAGTTCCAACTTCAGAGCAAATAGGTAACCCCATAATTAATACAATCTGGCACCAGCAAAAACCTACACAGAATGTCCATCACAGTCCCTTGTGAAAATTTTGAAACAGACTGCTGTCTTCGGCAAAGCCAAAAGCACACAAACACATTGAATGCATAAGGCAGCTGTCTGAAGTGCCAATAAACACCCACAGTCCACTGCTAGAACTGCAGTTCATCGTCAACGGAAGCAGCTTGCCACAACAAATCAGCAGCTGCACACGCAATAATGTATAAGATACAACCAGTTATGTAGCAACAGGCCACATTTGCTAATCTGCAGTTCACAACACAAACTATGACCCACACAATGAAAAGGCTTTCCACATCTGCAGCTTACTCGGTAAAGTATACTTTAAATGGAGGCCCTTCGGAGGACCCCCACAACAATTAGGTTAGGCAGCTGAGAAGCCCCCTTTAACCAGGTAAAGAAATTTTCTTTAAAATATTGTCTTTATTTATTTCATATTATTTCACCTCTCCGCCTTCTTCACGTTCACCGACTGTAAACTCCAGCAGAAAGTTCCAGTTGTTCGTCTACTGCTGGACTTTAGTCATGTCCCAAAACCTGAGTTTTTCATCCATTTTATAGATCTGGCTTATTTGTATACAGAATTTTGGTTTCCTTGCCTCTCTGAACTCTGACTTCAAAGGAAACTCCCAATTAATCTTTGCCTCTCTGAACTCTGACGTCAAAGGAAACTCCCAATTAATCTTTGCCTCTCTGAACTCTGACTTCAAAGGAAACTCCCAATTAATCTTTGCCTCTCTGAACTCTGACTTCAAAGGAAACTCTTAATTAGTTGACTTTTAGACATGTTTTGTGAGGGAGACAGGAGGTCTACCCCCACCCTCCCCACAGCGGGCCCAGTACCCGCACCAGAAAATATTATTTCAAATATATTATTTTATTTAGTTACCATTTAGAGCATGAGTATTATTACTATTATTAATATGATTATGTTCTTAAATTAGGATAAGGTCCCTAAGGCCCCCCCCCCCTTTCTGCCTACAATATATACATGAGACATTTTGAACATGGGCTCAGCTAAGTGCTGATTGGTCTACAAAAAATTAGTCTAGCATCATATGCGCCACGCGCCACAGGCATAAATATTGGTATTTACTTTTATTTTTTTCAAATCAATTTGCTTTCTCCATGTAATCAACACAAATCAATTTGCTATCTCTATGTAATCAACACAAATCAATTTGCTATCTCTATGTAATCAACACAAATCAATTTGCTATCTCCATGTAATCAAAACTAATTAATTTGCTATCTCCATGTAATCAACACAAATCATTTTGCTATCTCCATGTAATTAAAACAAATCAATTTGCTATCCCCATGTAATCAACACAAATCAATTTGCTATCTCCATGTAATCAACACAAATCAATTTGTTATCTCCTTATAATCAACACAAATCAATTTGCTATCTCCATGTAATAAACATAAATCAATTTGCTATTTCCATGTAATCAACACAAATCAATTTGATAGATACCTGATGACCAATACCGTTTGGTACTGCAGAAATGCCTGAAACATCAATGGACGCAGGAGGAGTCTGACTCTGTGAAGTGTAGTTAAACTGCGAGGTGATTGGTACTCGTGGTGGTATAGGGGGCGGAGTCTGCAATCCGTTGACTAATACTGGACGCTGCTGCTGCTGCTGGGAGGGGGAGGAGTTCACACTAGGGCTGTCTGACCGCACACTGTTGGTTTCAGAGGCAGCCAGACTGCTGCTTCCAAAACTGGGTCGCTGATTGTGCGAATACCCAGGATAACCTGCAGCAGATACATTTACAATTATGAATATTAATTGAGTAATTATTATGCAAGTGCTAATTTTACTCAGCATCATCATGTCATCAAGAGTACTTGGCATTAAGTGGCAGGACAAAATCACAATCACTGAGGTACTGGAAAAAGCAGGTACTGCTACAAGTCTTTTCCATGCTCAGTCTACGAAGGCTCTCGTGGTTGGGTCACAGCTGGAGAATGGAGGATGGCAGAGTCCCTAAGGACATCCTTTACAGTGATATAAAGACAGGAAGAAGATGTCGAGGCTGACCTCTACTATGGTATAAAGATGTGTGCAAGCGGGACACGAATGATACAGGTACTGAGGTGGACTCATAGAAACAAAATGCCATGGACTGTGTTGTGTGGAAAGGGCATATCAGGAAGGGAATGAGACTGAAGGAAGAAATGACTGCAGAAAGGATGAGAGCTAAGTGTCTGAAAAGAAACGGATTAAACACCAATGTTGACAACAATGGTCCTGAAATCCCATGCTATCATCGTAGAAGACATTTCTTGACAAGGGCGGGTCTTGCTAGTCACACTCGCCATCGCCATGGGCTGTGAGTCTCATGCCTTCTCATATGGCAACATAACACTATCGTCTGGAAAGACGGAAATGTGCCAATCATCATCATCATGTGCTGTGCCAATATGCCTGAGCACTAATGGATCTTGGATGCTGCTGCTGAGACTAGGCCACAGCACAGCTAAGGACAAGAATTTACAGACCCTTAGTGTCTGTATGATCGTCTGCTAGTCCGAGCGGTCAGGGTTAAATATGCATGGTGTTGTACACTTAGACAGACTTTTGTCCTCTTCAAGGCTTAGCTCTCAGGTCACTCTAATCTAAAATGGGTCCCAGGTTATGTCCTGTGAAGTAAAGGTGGCCGGCGTGATGCTGACATATCATTAACCCATTTCGCATTTTTCTATGAATATATACGTCTGGTGCCATATTGGTCAAAGACACTCACAAAAGTTACAATATTTATTTACAGACGTGAGGCAACAGTAACTCTCTGACTCTCTGAACATCATAATTGAAGACAATAACTCAGATACACTAGGCAAAATTACACTCTTTGCTTAAACTTCATGACTGGGGACAAGAAGTGAACAGACACCAGACACCAGCAACCCCCTATTCCCCAAACACTGCACAGGAGGACAAGAAGTGAACAGACACCAGCAACTCCCTGATTCCCCAAACATCATGAGGGAGGACAAGTACTAAACAGACACCAGCAGCTTCCCGATTCCCCAAACATCACTAGGGAGAACAAGAACTGAACAGACACCTGCAACTCCCCGATTCCCCAAACATCACGAGGTAGGACAAGAACTGAACAGACATCAGCAGCTCCCCGATTCCCCAAACATCACTAGGGAGGACAAGTACTGAACAGACACCAGCAACTCCCCGATTCCCCAAACATCACGAGGGAGGGCAAGAACTGAACAGACACCTGCAACTTCCCGATTCCCCAAACACCACCAGGGAGGACAAGTACTAAACAGACACCAGCAACTCCCCAATTCCCCAAACACCATGGGGGAGGACAAAAACTTACCGGCACACTTAATGCCCCCGCCTAATTTCTCCTCCATGATGAAAAGCAGCAGACGTAGAGCAGCATTGACGCTGTGGTTGCCGCTGAGCTGCAAGGCTCTAACCGCAATATCCTAAGGAAATGAGAAACAAATTACATCATGGGTAAGTCTGTCAGTAAAGGACTATTTTCCAAATCTTCAGACGTATTGTTAATATTGAGCTACGTCTATATTTCATACTGGTGAGTGATGTAGCTAACGTCACGCCCGCCGCCTTTGCTTCACAGGACTGTACCTGATACTCATTTAAACCTGGGTCGACATGGAAGCAAAGTTTTTTTTTTAAATATAAAGTCCGATTCCATCAGGATCTGAACCCACGGCTTTCCGATCCGCAGCTGAGTGCCGCTACACCACGGCGGCTTCCACATCATGGATACAGTTTGGAAATAATCTTAACTTAGATGTCAAGTTTTCTGGTCACGTGATGGCCAGCATCAGAAACACAAGACCAAAGGTTTGCACATGAGTTGTTAGCATGATGGCCTGAGACAAGGTTACGTTAGCCTAGATCACTTCAGAAACGAATTATTCCTAAATGTGTAATTAAAGTCGATGATGACCCACACAATGAAAAGGGACAAGTACAGAAATTGAAGTATCTGGGCACATGGTTAACATCAGATGGAAGATGCATATCTGAGATAAGAAACAGAATAGGACAGGCAAAAACTGCATTTTATAAAATGAAAAACATCTTGTGCAATATATCCTTGTCATTGAAAGTTAGAAAAAGAATTCTTGCCTGCTACATACATCCAGTTTTAACATACGGCTGTGAATCCTGGACAATCGGTAGGCAGGCCAAACAATTTCTTGAGGCCTCAGAGATGTGGTTTTACAGAAGAATGCTTAGATTACATTGGACTGCAAAAAAGAGCAACCAAGAGGTTTTGAAAGAGGCGGGAGCCCGAAGACAACTTATCACAGACATCAGAATGAGACATCATTTTTCGGCCATGTTATGAGAAGAGAGAAAACATGTTGTGACCACTGAAAAGATATGTGGAACGAGGGATAGAGGAAGACAATGAGAGAAGATGCTTGACAGTCTTGTTGCATGGCATGGAGGTGTGTTGACACACGAACTGATACATGCTGCAGGAGATCGCAGATTGTGGAGAGGCATGATCGCCCACGCCAGTCGGCAAGGCCCCTGATGATGATGATGAGGAGATCACTTTAAATATTTCCAAAGACAAATTATACAGAAAACTCTGAAACAAACCAAGAACTTCGCATAGTTAGGAAGCATAACACCCTCATCTGTCAAAAGAGAAGACGAGATTGATGGTAGATGTAACAAAACAACCCAATTCATTGGACAAATGGCGCGCGCGCGCGCACGCACGCACAAACACACACACATTATGTCTCAATAGAAACCAAAAGGGTACTCTATGACACAATGTTTTTGCAACACACAACACATTACACACAACACAAACACACGCAAACTCACACACACCAGCACTGACACATACAATCGCAAACATTCAATTTTACAACAGCCTATACATGTCGGCGTCTGTGGCAAAAGGCGTCGCGATCGCGCTTCGTAATGCTGGGGTGTCAAGTTCGATCCAAGCTGCAGGCGATTCAGCAGTAGCCCGTCTGGCGTTGGTTTCGACAGTGGTACCGAGAGCCGACAGTACAGAGGCAATGGCAAACTACTAACAGTAAAATTTTGCTTAGAAAATCACAACAGCCAAAAAATGCTGCGGTTTATTCTGCAACATCATATAAAAGATATGCAACTAGCTAACTATAAATGTTGCTGTTTTTCTTACTACTTGTCTTCAGGCACTCAATAACTGTTCCTTTTATTTTCCTAACGCAAATTCTGCAACTTGTTATTCTCTTCTTTCTTCTTCTTTTTCTCTGTCACCGTTTATCTTAGCGAGGTATTGGGGAAGATGTAAGGATCGTTTGTGCGCTTTTTTCCAATGCATTGTATAAGTTGGTGTTCATTTCTGTTAGGTTGCTCCTCGTGATGTTGGTCCATCTCTTGCGTGGTCTTCCCATTGCTCTGTGTTCATTATATTTCTTCAGTGTGGCTGACTGTGGCATCTGGACCTGGGCATTCTCGTCAGACAGCTAAACCATTTTTCATTTGTTGTTCTTTAATGAATTGTATGACTGGCTTCAGTCCTAGTCTTCTAATTTCTCCATTCCTGATTTTAACTTCTTCTTCTTCTTATTTGGTTGTCCTTAAAAGGGCGAATAGACCGCTGTGCTGAGGAATACAGTTTGGCAGCGCTATCAGCAATTTTCGTCCCAACACATCATTCTCCTTCTTCTTTTGTTGTCTCATTGATTCCAGGTTGTAGCCCAGTGCCGTGATCTTCTGTGATGTGTCTGCGCTTGCCGGGTGGCTTGGGTGATGGATTTGTTCATCTTTTTGCAAGTTTAAGCTACACCGTTTATCCACTACTTTCTTGGTCCTCCCCTCACTTTCCTCTCAGATCTTCTGTTTAAAAAAAAAAAAAATCTGTTAATTCAATATTATTTCTTGTGCAATAGCAGTTGATTACATCACTGCCGGCTTGCTAGGCCCGTCGCGTGACGGTGAAGAAAAAAAAACTCCGATCTGATGATGCCTAATACATCTGACTTCATCAAATCACCGGTTAGTTGTCTTTTACAACATACCAGTTTGGGTGTGGGAGGGGGGGCAGTGGATCTAACCCCCGCCTCCCCCACCCTCCCCCAAACCTTCCATATTGACATGGGGTACGGAGCAGGCAGTTTTTAAAAATTAAATGTTTAGCCTCTCTTGTGAGACTAGTTTGTCGTGCAACCGATGATTCATGTTGATAAGTACATCCGTTTTTGTAGTAGCACATCGTCGAAAACATTGGAGTAGTTCAAGTTGTTTGTGAGATGTTTGTTTTCCCTCCCTATCCACCACTCGACAGTCATGTAATACATTCACGTTTACCATCAATCAGAAGCATTGCGCGTGGCAGGGATTCCACAGTTGCCCACATTCTTGTTGAGCCTGCACGGTAAAGTGCACACATCAAACCCTGGAACCGCGAAAAGTACACGATAAATTTCCGGATCCTGTCTCCGTTCTACAGATGGGTGCGCCAAACGAACTGGGTCAACATTCGACGGCTGCATTAATTAACGAACACGGAGCGTAACCTATGACCTCCGCTACGTCCTGTCGCGGGATTAAGTCATGTCTGAGCCATTACTTCACCTGTTTTGTTCAAAGTATGTATATAAAAGTTAAGTAAAAGTTAAGGACCCTTTTCCCCGCCTTGCATGTGTATTGGGTATACAGGACTAGGCCTATATTTTATTGACCATACGGCACTTGCTGGGTGATGCCGGCCGCTTTGACTTTCCAGGAATGCACCTGGTACCCACTCAAGGCTGAGTCGACCTGAGAGCCAAGGTCTTTTTTTTTTTTTAAAGTCCGGCCCCGGTCAGGAACCGAACCTACGACCTTCCGATCCGCAGGCGAGCGTCTAAACCACGGCGGCTCCCTAAGTATGTATATACAAGTCATAATTTATTGCACATTACTTTAACAGTAGCAGCCTATATAATGCAAAAGTTTGTAGGTTCATCATCATCATCATCATCCCGTAACCATGCGTGTTGTTGGGTCACCAGTTGCTGTCGACTGTCTGATCAGCTCCCTCAATCTCTGACGGTCAGATGCGATGGACTTCATGGTTGCACGCCTATGGCCTGTCCTGGTGCAGTCAAGTTCTGTATCCAAGTCTTTCTTGGTCTGCCTCTTCATCTCTTACCCTCTACTGAGCCCTGGAGTACTGCTTTCGAGAGGCCGTTAAATCTCATTACATGTTCGTAATATTGCATTTTCCGTCAGTTCATTGTAGTTAACAGAGGTCCATAGTTGCCGATGAGCTCGGTAATTGTACGGCGAACCTTGTGATGTGGTCTTTGTATATGGCCTCTGTATAACATTTACCCGTCGTTAAGGTTGACAGCCTCGCGTACTACGTCACAACATCCAGTATGAGAATGGAGGTGGGGGCAGTAACGGCAGCTTTCAGATGATTCGACTGCAGCACAGCCCGACATGTTGTAACAGGCACAGAGTGGCTTGCGTCATTTGGTAAGACTCAGATCAAGAGCATATCATGGGTTTTCTGTTCAGAACACTCAGGTGTGCGAGGCAATGAGTAGGCTGTTAGGTTAGCTGCTGTCGCTCCTCTGGGCGATGAGCTTCTTTATGGTAAACTCTGGTGAAGGCTCTATGGGACCAAACGGACAGTGCGAAAGAATAGATGTAGGGAATTCATACAATGAAAGACTAATTCAACGGAGTTGGGGGGGGGGGGGGGGTGTAGATGTTCTGGAATATAGTCAACGTTGAAGGGGAAACAAAGGCGGACTTTTAATGAAGTTGCAACTACTAATAGCATATCAACTCTTCGTTTGTTACCGAAAAAGGGAACGGAGCACCCGTGGGAATGTCTCGAGTGCAATTGTGTAAATTCTTCATTCATTTGTTCACTGAAGGTGGAAAAAGGTTCGAACATCGACGCATTTTAAAGATTATGTGCACTTGAGGTCGACCTAGCCTAATAATGGGTAGCGGGAAGTGTTCTGGGAAGGAAAGACGGCTGGTGTAATATTCGACAAAACGCACATCCAGCGTCGATTTGTCTACAAAATATGACCAATATTCCTTAAAGCGAGATAAAGGAGGCAGCAGTGTCATTATTTTGTCGACCTGTTGTGCGCTAAGAAAGACTTGTCCATACTGTGAAAGATTTGATGAGAGAGAGAGAGAGAGAGAGAGAGAGAGAGAGAGAGAGAGAGAGAGAGAGAGAGAGACAGACAGACAGACAGACAGACAGACAGACAGACAGACAGACAGACAGACAGACAGACAGACAGACAGACAGACAGACAGACAGACAGACAGACAGACAGACAGACAGACAGACAGACAGACAGACAGACAGACAGACAGACAGACAGACAGACAGACAGACAGACAGTGAAAGAAGGTTCCTGCCAACCGTTCACTGTGACACACAAAAGTGTGGGCACAAGGACTAATACATTGTACTGAAAAGGGTGGG